AGCACACCTCGCTTTTCAGAACAATGAGCTTTGTAAAAATTGACGCGTTTCAGAAAGGCGGGGCATAGAGGAGAAACAATAATGTACAGTATGTGGAAAATAATGTGTTTTTCGAACCTTAAACCGCATAAACACATTTCATTACACCAAATACACAAAATAATGTTCTTTTTAGCAACATCATATGACCCCTTTAAAATAAAGCGTTACCGTCTGCAAGTTCTTATATCTTTGACACTCAATGCATTTGAGGCTGACTATGTTTGTGATGTACAGAACATGAATTACTCATCATTACTTGCAGAAAGTAGACATGATATATTAGCATGCGGCCATTTGTCCTGTGGCTTTGTCCCGTTGTGTGAAGCTGGAATTTTCTTCAGCACGAGTAAATGTTGAACTGAAGAACCTGTGCTGACATGCTTTCAATCCACACAAGCACTTGTCAGCTTGTTTAATCCCATCTGTTCATTCCTGTTAGTCTCTCCTTTCTCTCTTGCTCGTGTCCTCTTATCACGAGCCTTCATGCTGTAGGACTTTAGTGCGAGACTGAGCCAAACTCTTTATTAGTTGTCAAACAAAACGCAACTTTGAGTTCTGCTAGCAGGCTTTCTGCAGAAATCAATCGGCTATTTAGAGATACTTTCATTCCAAATACTATAAGTCCACTGTGTAGCTTATAGTCTCATAGCGCAATAAGCGCATAACAGTCAAGCTTAGAACTTCTGGGTATGAATTCGATTTTGGACTTTTTTTTTGTGCCTTGAGTGTAGTGATTCGTTTTTATATGTGCTATCTAGACAAACCTTTATATGGTATAAGAAATAAAGAAAATAGATGATTTATTGCAGTTCAGAAGCTTTTTCTAGTTTTTCTAGTGTTATGTCAACAATATTTCCTTTAAGTGAACCGTTTAAGTGAAGTTTGCATGTTTTTACCATATTTTTGTATATCCTGATACCACTGCATTTCAATAGAAATCTCCCCTTCTTTGAACAAGAGCTGAGGCTTTTTTATCTTTGATTGTTCTCAAGTGTCTCCTTGTCTTACCAAAAAGTGGTAGCTAATAACAGATCAAATGCAGTTTGTACATGGGAATATTTTTTGTATGTCATGAAATAATTAATACTCATCAATCATACATTAACCACTTGCACTATATATTTTTTGCACTATATTCACTATATGCCTTTTTCTCATTTCATGCAAGGTCAAACTGAATAATTGTAGAATTAATCTCTTAAACCTAATTAAACGCAAAAAGAACCAGTAACACTGATGGATTCATGAGTAAGATTATTTACGTGATGTAGTCATGAATTACAGAAATACAATAATAGCAGAATTGGTGACCATATTAAATAATCACCTGACCTACTTTGGTGAAAAAGCTATCACAATTTGATTAACAACATTACACCGCTGACATTTCAAAAGAAATGTCTTACATTGGGGGGCTTAATGAAATGTCACAAAAATATGAGTATGGATACTGGAGAGCTACCTAACAGTTATGGCTGTATAACTGCAATTAGCCTCAGGAAAGATTTCATAAGTGTTCAAAAAATCAGTTTGCTGCTGCATTTTAAAAATGATTCAGAAATTTAAAAAAAGAATAACTATAAAAATGAGCATATCGCTGCATGCTTTAGCTAATGGTTGAACTTGTATGATTACATGTTCATTAAAACTGGAAGGTCCACAAGGGCTAATTTTTTGCAAGTGAGTCGTTTTGCAGGTTACTGTAGGCTAATTAACTGCATTATTTCCCCCCACCCAAACAGACCTTAGTTGAGGCAAACGGCATATTTATTTTTGGTTAATGACGTTGAGGCAGTGAGGGATAAATGTACAGTCTGTTCAATAGATTGTACTTTTGTGATCTGGGTGTTGATCATCAGTCAAGTAAAGCTATCCATTCTCACACTAATTATGAAAATAGGCAAAGCTACTCAACACGGTATTTGTCATTGTGAGCTGAATGGAAGTAATCCTTTATGGTCAGGAATGCATTCATATGTGTGACATCAACATTAGAGGATAATATAGGAGCTATTATACGGTATAATGTAAACTGTTAGACATCCTGACATGATAAAGAACACGATTTTGTCATCCCATGGACTCCTGAATGGGTTACACTTTATTTTAATAGTCCACTTTAGACATTCTACTAGCTATAAGTAACTTTGCAACTACATGCAGTCAACATGCAGTCATTAGAGTATTAGTAGACTGTCTGCTTAAAATCTGCTAACACTTTATTTTGATGACATTCTACTGATACGGTATAATGTAAACTGTTAGACATCCTGACATGATAAAGAACACGATTTTGTCATCCCAGGGACTCCTGAATGGGTTACACTTTATTTTAATAGTCCACTTTAGACATTCTACTTGCTATAAGTAACTTTGCAACTACATGTCAACATGCAGTCATTAGAGTATTAGTAGACTGTCTGCTTAAAATCTGCTAACACTTTATTTTGATGACATTCTACTTTCTATTAGTACTTTGCAAGTACTTGTCAACTTATTCTACCAATCCTAACCGTAACCCTAACCTAACAGTCTACTAATACTCTAATGAGAGTGAGAGTTCGTTGACATTTAGTTGCAAAGTTAATTATAGTTTGTAGAATGTGTAAAGCGGACTAGCAATATAAATTGTAACCCAAGAATCGTATAAACCCCACATGAAATAATATAATTTTCCAGTTTTTGCATCTTCCAGTAGATGTCACAGTTTTACATCTTATTACCCACGGTTCAGTGTCACATTGCATCTCTCATGACTGTGATCCCTGCACTGACAGAATGCTTTAAAGTTATTTATGTCATTCGAGGCAAATGAAAAATAAAAATAAGACCAGACATAAACTGGTGTCTGACGCTGATGGCTATTGCAGTCCATATGGACATTTATTTTTATGAATGCCGACCAATTTTTTTCCCATAACAGCCTGCATCATTCTGTCTTACAATTAAATGATCTACAAATACACATTTGTCCCTTGCAAGCCACTCATGGTAAAATGCATGGAGCACACTGATGCATCTCCATCACACTTGACATTGACAAGTGCTCTTTTTGCTTAGACGAGGATTAATATTGCTGTCCACTCTTGCATTGCACACCAGCTCTATGCTCAAACACAAGCACAAACACGCCTATATTGACAGAACATGTGCCAAGGACAAACACAGCCCTGTTAATAATATGGCGGAGGATCTTTAAGAAAGCCATTAAGTGAAAGTGACGTGACATGTGGCCAAGTATGGTGACCCACCATACCATTAAGTGTCACAACATAGCCCTTGATCTTTAAAATCAATAAAAAGAAACATTACAGAAAGCAATTTTGCACTTGTTGAGCTAAACAAAAATGCCAGTGCTTTTATGGTTCTGTGCCGTCTTGTTTTACTCTAATACTGTGAGCAGACAGACCAGCAAGAGGTCCGGTAGTAAACTTTCTCTTCTGCTTGAGTATGAGACATAAAATAGCAGCATCTACCCATAATGCACAGCAAATCCCACCAGCTTTTCAAATGCTTTAGATGAATCAGCTTCTTGTAGGAATCAACCGCTTTGCAAAAACAGAAAAGGCAACATTGGATAAAAGATATCATGCATTCAGTCCAACTCCACTGGGAAGTACATGAGAGTTATCAGTCATGTTGGAACGTAAGTTTTGTATGGGGTCAACTGATGCAGCGATAAAAGAAAATCAGCCAGAATTATATTGAAATACTTTAAAACCTCATTCTATCCAGAATCAGACTCATGAAGAAGTTTCTGTCAGCATTATTATGTACTGAGCATACAGTATGTTAGACACACAAAGAAATCTAAAGCAGGTTAACATAAACATTTAACAATAAATCTTTCATTATTAGACTTTAGAAATTAGACACATTAGAAACAAATTTCTCTCCACCAAAACCCCCAGACCAGTTGGTAACGTGCTTCTGTCACAGGGAAATGCTCATTCAACCCAAGACATTTTGTATTCTGCCAGCATTGTAATTTGTATTTTTAAGCCAGTATATTGCATTTTTAATCCAAACATAAAAAAAAAAAAAGTTTCAGAACAAACTTTACTTTGCCATTTTTGCTGGAAAACTGATAAAGAGATGGCCCAGGCCTGGATGTGATTTTGTTGTTTTGTGCCACAGGTTTGCTGTCACTGAACTCTGCGCTGGATTTTGAGCTCTGCCGCGAGTATTACCTGTCAGTGGAGGGAGCAAGGGGTAAACCATTGCTCAGTGATATTGCCACGGTTATCATCAATATCACAGACGTCAACGACAACCCGCCTGTCTTTAACCGCAGTAGCTACAGTAGCGTGATTGCAGAGGACATATCACCTGGGGACATGGTTCTGCAGGTATTACGCTTTCCCGTAACTGTCACTGAACATCCAATGATAAAACTTTTCAAAATAAGGCTAAAGCTGACTGTGTTATTCCTGAAAGTGCTCTACAACATATCGTTTTCTTAGTTTTTCAATTAAAAAAAAAAAACCTTAAACATATCAAGATACATTGCATATTAAGATATTAATATACAGATATCAAGAGGTATATATTAAGGGAATATATCTTAAATTAAGTAAAATTTTCTTCACATCAGAATTTTATTTTTTTTCTTGTTTAAAGCATAAACCCCATTAAATAAATAAATACAGAGTTGGGGGGGGATTATGCCCTCCGTTCTCTTTCTGAATTCTGTGTCATGGAAATCAGACAAAAAAAGTAATTTTTATGAAAAGAAGTTGCAGTATCTATACACAACTTGTAAACAAACAAACAAACAATCAAGAAACAAATAAATACAGTGTTAAATATTATTCACTGTATATGCAATTTATATGCAAATACTATTTATTAATATTTTCTTTGTTTTAATCATTTTATTATGTGTTTTTGTCATTTTTATTATTTTAAAAAAATATATATTTCTATTTAGCTTTAATTAATTTTATTTAGTTTTAGTAATTTTAGCACTTAAAATTATTTCAGTTAGCTGCCAAGGCAACATTTCTAATTTTCGTACATATTTAAAAATGTATCAAATATTCGTATTTCATTTGATTTCAGCTTTGATTCAAAAAACATTTTAAATAGTTTTACTTTTAGTTAAAACTAGATGTATCATGTTTTAAAAATAGATATTTAATGGAAAACAACAAAACTACTATGATTTTTAATGTGCCGTTTCTGGACTGTTATCATATCGCCTTTGACTTCAAATGTAAGCTGTCTCAGACTTTCTCCATAATGCATTCTATGAAGCAAATTAAAGCCAGCTGTTGTCAGTTTGGTGACTGGAATGAGGCAAGCTATTGTGGCAGCTGTCGAGGGAATGAATTACTGCATCTGTCACTTAAGCAATCAGAAAAACATTTTGAATGGAGCAATCAGCTAATGGTGATTGAATATGAGCACTCACAGTCAGCTCAGCTATTCGTTGTGACATTAGCTGTGTCTGATGCAGACCGCTAGATTAGAAGAATCTGCAGTAATCCGGAGCTTTAAAGCTTTGTTTAATACCACTCAGGTGTGCTCATCTTCCTTTCACTAACTGTGCATCTGTCTCAGGTAAGAGCCATCGACCTTGATGGGCCTCCAAATAACTTCATCATCTACTCTATTGTGAGCGGTGATCCAAAGCAGCAGTTCGGCATCGATCCTCACACCGGCCACATAACTGTGCGCTCCATGCTGGACAGGGAAGAGGTGAGTTTCACTTCGCCGCCCAGAACACGCACTCACTTGTTTTATCAGGGATTTAGTTGTATCTGTTGAATCCTCTGATCACATTTTAATCACTACTGTGCATATTTGACTGCTGTTATTGAACAATGGTACCATGATGTTCATATCTTCATAATCCTGCTGACACGGCCCCTCGCCTTTCAGATAACGCACTACTCATTAACCATGCAAGCTGCCGATGAAGGCGATCCCCCTTTATCCTCCGCCGTCCAGGTGACAGTGACCGTATCTGACGTCAACGACAGCCCACCGATGTTCTCGCAGATCAATCACAGCCTCGTCCTTCAGGTAAAAACAAACGCTTCGTCCAAAACCTACCTTTGTGCCTCCCTGCCAAGTTAGTCAATGATTTCGCTTTCTTCAGACAGACAGCTTCAGACGGCACCGAAATATCACACCTGACGATCTAGAACAAATTCACATGAGCTTTGGAGATAGCCAAGCAAATATTTTTTATGATTACAATGGTTATTTCACGGTAGAAATGAAAGAATATGTTAAAAATGGATATTTGCTTCTTGCCGATCCATCAGACACAAGGTTCAACCAACCAATTTTCACTCAGTTGCTAGTCAATTTCACAATTACAAACAAAATGCTAGTAACACGTTGAATTAAACATGAGATTTTGAAGTAGAAAGAATGAAATAGGATTTTCTTGTAAAATGAAATCCAGTAGTCTTTGTTTTATTTATAACTTAAAAAAAAAAAAAATTATTAAAACACTTGGTAACACTTCACTTAAAGCCTTTATATATAATGCACTATAAAATAGTTTTAATGGTTTTAATGCATTAATTATGTCCTGTAATGCACCTTATAATGCATTATATGATTTATATGATAATACATTATAATACCTTTGTATTCATTGTTACACCGTTAGAAAGCATAATGCATTAAAACACATTGCAAAAAAACCTTCAAATATTATAATGCATTTTAATTTTGGTTACAGGTATTTATGAAAAAATATAATGCATTACAATGTACATTATGAATACCTTTATAATGCATTATCTAATGTCCGTCCTGTGCACTGAACGCTCTCTCCTCCACATCATGAGTAGACACGCCCCTTACTGCTGATTGGCTACAAGTTTGTTTTGCTACTTGCTAATCAGTTTTCTAAAGCTTTTTTGAAAAATCGCTTACCCCACCTTTAAGTAAAGTGTGTGACCCCTTTTTTATCAGTGTAGAAATTTTTAATTCTAAATTTTTCCCCCAATGCACTGAATCACTAGCATGGGATTGTGGGACATCAAAGGTGACACAGCTGTCATCTCATTTGTGCTCTAAGCTGCACATGAGCACACGGGAAGCCAAGAGTTCAGGATAAAGAGTCAATCAGCCATGTATAATATAGTATTTTTTTTCTACAACAGTGTTCGGACTCTCTGTTTACCCCTTCAGAGTCAGCCGGATCCATTGCTTCTAATTATAGGGTCAACTCTGCTGACTTGGAAATATTTTTCACACCCCATTTACCACCACCCAAGGTGTCTGTGTTTGCAGAGTGCAGCAGCTATTTGGCACCATGTAGGTGGTCAGTAACAATTAGGCTCATCTCTGCCAGCTGAGCACTCTGTTTCAATTACCTGTTCCAGTTGTTCCAGCTCGAAGGAAAACGAGGAGCACATATCAGTCCAATCGGTAGCACTTTGTTGACAAATGCAGAAGGAGTGATAAAAATCACCGTCTGTTCTTGCTGTTTTCATTTCGACAGAATTGGGCTGTTTCTTCAAGCTTAGATTTGTTTGCACAGAAGAATCTGGCATTGAAAATGAGTACCGTGACAGAAATACGCTATTGATTTAAAAAACAGCAAGAAACCTACAAACATCAGGGCGGATTGATCATGATTATTATTTTCCAGCCATTTCTTTCTGGTCGCCATGATATATTCTGTTGCCAGAGCAGTAGAATTCAATAAAACTCAGATGAGTGAACTCTAGAATCACCTGCATTCTAATCAAAATAAAGAACACATTTATGCTATTTGTTCATCTACTTTCAAGAAAGGACACCTACAACTTTCCTAAAAGTCAGACGGTATTTTCCAAACATGTGTGGCTTGATTAATGGTGTTTTTCTGGACACAGGAAGGGGAGGCTGTGGGCAGTGGAATTCTGCAGCTGCTGGTAACAGACAGAGATACGCCTCAGAACGGCCCTCCATTCTCATTCCGTTATGTTATGTTATGTTATGTTATGTTATATTGTAAATACACATTTCAGTAGGTTGCAAAATTCTAGGTTCAGGATCTAGGATTCTAGGATCTATTTATTTGTCTGTCTCTGTGTATAATCTACAGTATTTGACCTTCAAGACTTTAAGTTTTCAGACAAGGTGTTGTTAACCCAACTTTGAAATTGGTCTTGACAAACTTTCCTTGAATTTCAATGTAACATTTAATTTTGTTAAATTTTTGTTGATTTTAAGTTTTAAATAAATTATACATTTTCTACTTATGCTTCCTTTAACTCAAATTTGAATTGGAATTCCGAATCATGTTTGTTACCTCAGTTTAAATTCAAAACTTGCATTGGAAGTTGACATGTATTCTCAATTAAATTATAAAGCGCACACGACCCTGAGCACCATTCATTGTCATTGTATAGAAAAGAATATTATGAACATTTTTCAAAACGTCTTCCACAGAAGAAAAACAAAAAGTCATACGGGTTTGGAACCACAATAGAGTGAATAAATGATGACAGAATCTTTCATTTTTATGTGAACTATACCTTCAAATGGAATATGGCATGTATGGGACAATACGACCTGACCTAAACTTGATTGTTATCTGTGGACCAGTGATTCTACCACACCGCCTTAAATTATTTAAAGCAACTCTTCAAAGGTCAGTGTATTGTTCACACGTCGCAATGTTTTTTTCACACATCACATAAATATCATCTCCACAGGTCACTGACAGCGGCCACCCTCCTCTGTCCTCAATATGCGTGGTGAAAATCAACATCACAGAGCAGAGCCGATATCCACCCACTGTGACTTCGGTCCAATCGGTAGCACAAATACAGACAGAGTGATAAAAATCACCATCTGTTCTTGCTGTGTTTTCATTTCGACAGAATTGGGCTGTTTCTTCAAGCTTAGATTTGTTTGCACAGAAGAATCTGGCATTGAAAACGAGTCCCGTGACAGAAATCCGCTATCGATTTGAAAAACGGCAAGAAACATCAGGGTGGATTGATTATTTTTATTCTTTTCCAGCAATTTCTCTCTGTTCGCCATGATACATTCTGTTGCCAGAGCAGTAGAACACAATAAAACTCAGAGGAGTTTTATCTTTAAAAATAAAGAACACATTTTTGTTAATTGTTCATCTACTTTCGAGAAAGGACAGCTACAACTTTTCTAAAAGTCGGTATTTTCCAAGCATGTGTGGCTTGATTAATGGTGTTTTTCTGGACACAGGAATGGGAAGCCGGGGGCAGTGGAATTCTGCAGCTGCTGGTAACAGACAGAGATACGCCTCAGAACGGCCCTCCATTCTCATTCCATATTGTCTCGGGAAATGAGGACAGGAGCTTTCACATTGACCAAGGAGGACTGCTGTCCGTATCCTCCCCGCTGAGGAGGAGTGGCAAGCCTCAGCATCTGCTAAAAATCCAGGTGAAAGATTTCATTCATTTATTTCAGTTACGAGTGCAATGCATGTTTATATGTTTGTTTCGAGAATTAAAGTGGTAGTTCACACAAAAATGAAAGACTGTCATCATTTACCCATCCTCATGTTGTCTTAAAGCCATAGGACTTTCTTTCTGCTGGAAAACTCAGATTTATTTTTTTTAATGGTGCTCCTTTCTCCTATGATGAAAGTGAACAAGGATGGGTGTTGACAAAAATTGTCCAAAAAACACAGTGAAACTACCATAAAATAAAAATATGTTATAGGATATTCCAAGCCTTCAGAAGTCCTTTATTTATTTATCAATTATATAAATTGGTCTTGACAAACTTTCCTTGAATTTCAATGTAACATTTAATTTTGTTAAATTTTTGTTGATTTTAAGTTTTAAATAAATTATACATTTTCTACTTATGCTTCCTTTAACTCAAATTTGAATTGGAATTCCGAATCATGTTTGTTACCTCAATTTAAATTCAAAACTTGCATTGGAAGTTGACATGTATTCTCAATTAAATTATAAAGCGCACACGACCCTGAGCACCATTCATTGTCATTGTATAGAAAAGAGTATTATGAACATTTTTCAAAACGTCTTCCACAGAAGAAAAACAAAAAGTCATACGGGTTTGGAACCACAATAGAGTGAATAAATGATGACAGAATCTTTCATTTTTATGTGAACTATACCTTCAAATGGAATATGGCATGTATGGGACAATACGACCTGACCTAAACTTGATTGTTATCTGTGGACCAGTGATTCTACCACACCGCCTTAAATTATTTAAAGCAACTCTTCAAAGGTCAGTGTATTGTTCACACGTCGCAATGTTTTTTTCACACATCACATAAATATCATCTCCACAGGTCACTGACAGCGGCCACCCTCCTCTGTCCTCAATATGCGTGGTGAAAATCAACATCACAGAGCAGAGCCGATATCCACCCACTGTGACTCCGCTAGAGGTTTTCATCACCACCGCTGGTGGGGTGTTCTCGAAACGTGTCATCGGCAAGCTGCACGCCACGGACCAAGATCCCCAAGATGTCCTATCTTACAAACTGGTTTCTGATGGCCTGGACCAAGGCCTGTTCTCTGTGGACGCAGTGGATGGAAAGATCGTGGTGGAGAAGAACCTGGATCCAGGCCTGTACCACTTGAACGTGAGCGTGTCCGATGGGAAATTTAACATCTGGGCGGGAGTGAAGGTCCATGTTTGGGCTCCCTCTAAACACGATCTGGATCAGGGCTTCACGTTGCAGTTGGCTGGACTTTCGGCGGAAGAGTTCGTGTCCGATCACTGGAGAGGCCTCCAGCGCAGCCTGGGCTTGGAGCTAAACATCCCCAGACAAGCGCTGCGCATTGCCAGCTTGCAACAGCAGCCAAACTCCATCAACATGGAGGTCCTTCTGGTCCGGAGAGCTCAGGACGGCTCCGTCCAGCCCGTGTCTGCTCAGCGCCTCACTGGGGTCCTTTCAACTGTAGAAGATACGCTGGGTTTGAACGTCTTGAGACTGAAGCATGATGGTTGTGTGGGCGCTGGTTGCCCACCTCGGGGTTGCAGGAACACTGTAGTGATGAGGCAGGGGAGAATGAGTAACTACGCCACCGCACGGGCGAACTTCATCACCCCGCAGCACAGCTGGGAGAGCGTGTGTTCCTGCAATGGTAGGCAATGAGACCACCAGCGTCTTATTCTGCATTCCACTGAGGATTTAGACAAAACTGGAGGCCTTGAATGTCATCTCGCTTCTCATTTAGTTGCAACTTTATTTTGACTGCTCTGGGTTTGCTTTAAAGGGACAGTTCACCATATAATAAATGCACCCTCATGTCATTGTCAAGGGAACACAAAAGGAGATGTTTCACAGAAATTTCAAGCTGCACAAGTGACCAGGGGCTTTTAAGCTCCAGTAATGACAAAAAACAATAGTCTATATCAATGGTTCTCAAACAGGTTCCCAGGGCCCTCAAGATGACTTAAAATGTTAAAATATAAAATAAGACTAAACGAGCTCTAAAATAAGCTAAACAATTAAAAATCAAGACACTTTCAATAAGTTTTTGTCTTTGACAAACTAGGATTCTCATGGCTCGTTCCCACCTCATTTAATAGTGTAAATTCTAGACCTAGAAAAGTAAATTAATAATTAAATTAAATTAAATTAAATCTTTAAATGCAATGGGTATTTATAATGGTTTTATAATGTATATAGGTTTTTATAGTTATGCTGTGAGTAAAAATGTTTTTTTTTTTCCAAAATGATCCAGTAAATAACAAATGACATGGAAAAGTCATGGGGCGTTTGAATATTGTTGTAGTCAATGGGGGCCTTGGAGTCAAAAAGGTTGAGAACTATTGGGTCTATATGACTTTATTATCATTATACTCCAATGTGTCTGAAGTTACATGATCAGAAAAAAGTTGCTATACACACAATTGTCCCTTCTTTAATCTCTTTTGCTATTATTGTTCATATTTAAACTTGAGACATGCAAGAACCAATGGCATTTGGCATCATCAAATCTAGTTGATGCCTTGTGGCGCCTTACATTTAAATGCATGGAAACATGAATTCGATTTGAGAGCTATGCCAGAGGGAAAGATATTCAAAGAATAATGATTTTAATTTCAGTCTGTTGCGTACATACACTAGGAGCACACACATACTGTAGTATTTACAGGTTGATAGTGTAAATGTACTTTTATTTTTGTTATTTTTAGAGCTTGAAGGCTCCTGATCACCATTTGCTTTCATTTTCTGGTAAAAAGCAGTTTAAGAGTTTTTCAAAATATCTTATTTTGTTTTGCACGTACACTACTGTTCAAAAGTTTGTAGATGGAAAGATTTTTTTTCATTCTTTTGAAAGAATTCTTATATGCTCACAAAGGCTGCATTTATTTAATCAAAAATACAGTCAAACATTAATATTGTGAAATATTATTACAATTTAAAATAACCGTTTTCTGTTTGAATATATTTTAAAATGTAATTTATTCTTGCGATGCAAAACTGAATTTTCACATTTTGCCAAATGTATTTATGCTTCCTGCGTTGCAGAATCTGCTGTGAGATTTGACGGCAAGGGTTATCTGAAATACCTCTATCAAATGGAAGAGAGCAAAGAAAACTTCCATCTGTCCCTTCGACTCAAGACGTCTGCAGCAGAGGGCACAGTGATGTCCTCCAATGCCTCTGACTGGGGAAAATTAGAGGTACGACATTTTTCAAACACACTGACAAAAGCGTCTTTAGCTTATTCTTTTGTCGTGCACAAAAAGCTTACTTTGTGTGAATTGCTGTAGGTAAAAAAAATCTAAAATACAAAAAGCCCCTGCCATCCAGATCACAATAGAACGATCACAGGAAACTTCACTCCACCCCATGACAAATACAATGTCCAAATGTTTGCAGTAGAAGCTCGTTTGTTCTCGACTAACTGCGCATTAAACGCATTAATATTCAGGAGCACATTCCAGAAGGGATTGAAACAGCTTGTGATGTGGATTTCAGCCCACCCTTTGAGCACATCAGTAATAAATCAACCTGTATTTCTCAAATGAGTGTTATGATGAATCCATGGCTGACTGCTCTCCTTCTTTGACTCAGAGGCGCAGTGAGGACTCTTTGAGTATTTGTTTATTTAAACGGCCTAATGCAGCTTTGAAGCTTCAGCTAGAGGAAGTCTTTAAGGTACTGCACAAAAGAAAAATGCACTGAAAAGTGCATTCATGTTCTATACATTGTGAGTACGATAAAGACTTGAAACGCCGACCTCTGCTTCAAAATCATATGACATCTCTCCTGGAGGACACCTCATCTAGGCACCATAATTGAATATTCAAAAAATGGCTTGCAACATCAAAAGTGCACTCTCCTTTTTTTCCAAAGCTTTACCTCTGGGTTTTGAAACTTGGCAAGCTGGACCATTTCATTGTTGCAGAGGGGCTTCAAAAGGAATTGTTAAACATGGTCATCCAAGAAATCTTCAGGGCATTGATCTTCACACGTTGCAAAGATATACATGACATAATTTATGTGTCTTTCTGGAGAATTAACATTCTGGCGATCCTCAGCAAATTCCTATCAGTTCATGTCTTATCAGTCTTTTAATTTGAGAGGAGCGACAGCTCGTGCTGTGAAAACTTGTCAAATTTGAATCAACTGCTAAGCTAGTACTTTCTTTCAGTTTTCTTACCTTTTAAGTAATTACTTTCAAATGGAAATCGAGCCTATTTGAGCAAAGCCACATGTGACAAGAAAGGAAGAAAAGGTGACTTGTCAGTTGAGCAGCTGTAGCATTTATGAATACTGACAGCTGCGATCTATCTAACATTATTAAGAGAAATGAGATCTGTGGCGGGATAGATACGCTGGAACTGATACCCTTTAATGCAGTGAGGAGTCCGTCCGAGCATGGGGGCACTGATCGCAATAATTAGGTTTTTCTTCTCACTGGACTCACATCGGGAGGTCTGTTATGAAACCTACCAGCATTGTAAGACATCGCAGACACGATTCTGATGCCAAGAGTCTTCCCAACAGCATGGTATAAAATGATTCATCTAAGATCCACCATTTTGGCCAAATTCTAATGCAACATTTTATCCAAGAGGGTAGATAGAATGAATGGTATATATATATAAAGTTTGGGGGCAGTAAGTATTTTTAAATAAAAAAAAAAAAAAGAAATTAATGCTTTTATTCAGCAAGGATTGATTACATCGGTCATAAGTGACAGTAAAGACATTTATAATGTTACAAAAGATTTCGGTTACACTTTATTTCGATAGTCCACTTTAGACATTCTATTAACTATAAGTAACTTTGTAACTACATGTCAACTACATGTCAACTAATTCTCATTAATTTGCAACTACATGTCTACTAACTCTCAGAGTAGACTGTTAGGGTAGGTTTAGGGTTAGTAGAATAAGTTGACAAAGAAAGTGTTAGAAGATATTAAGCAGACAGTCTACTAATATTCTACTAACTGCTAGTTGACATGTAGTTGCAAAGTTACTGTTACTGTTAAAGTTACTGTTAATAGAATGTCTAAAGTGGACTATCGAAATAAAGTGTTACCAAGATTTCTATTTCAAATAAGTGCTGTTTCTATTACTTTCTATTTGTCAAAGAATGACTGTAAATAAATAAATATGTTAAGCAGCATAACTGTTTTCAACACTGATAATAATAATAATAAATGTTTCTTGAAAATCAGCATATTATAATGACTTCTGAAGGATCATGTGACACTGAAGACTGGAGTAATGATGCTGAAAATTCAGCTTTGATCACAGGAATAAATTATGTTTGAAAATATATTAAAATAGAAAACAGTTATTTTAAATTGTAATAATATTTTACAATATTACTGTTTTACTGTATTTTTTTGGAGATGTCTTAAAAACATTTAAAAATCTTACTAACCCCAAACTAGTATAAATACATTCATACAAAATCATCTGAGTCATTCGCTACTAAAAAGTATCAATAAAAATATTTATTCTAGTAATCCAGCGGCTATCAACCCTGTTCCTGTTTACATCACATGCTATTTGTGCATGTGGAGCTGCTGCCTTCTTGAATAGCATGCTACCTATATGAATCCAGTGGACAATAAAGCAGAAACAGAGCTTTCATCCAATCATTCATTGAGGGATAATAACAATAATCAAGTGAGGGATAATAGTCAGGCGGTCATGGCCAACAGGCATGTATATAGGATGATCAGGACATTTTTATTATCCATAAATGGTGTATTTTGCTAAAACGACCAGCGCAATATATGTACATTATCTCACTTATTACACAGCTGCTTGCCAAATAAATTAATGCACATTGATGTGAGTCGAAATGATTTTTATTTGGCCACAGAATGCCACGACAAATATTCCAGAAAACTGTGTATTGATGATGAATATTAGTTAGTTTAACCATATCAACAAAACAGAATTTAATTTTTGTCATCATACTCTGCAGTTTGCCGACCAGCGCAATATACTGTACATTATCTCACTTATTACACAGCTGCTTGCCAAATAAATTAATGCACATTGATGTGAGTCGAAATGATTTTTATTTGGCCACAGAATGCCACGACTGACCGATGAAGATCAAATATTCCAGAAAACTGTGTATTGATGATGAATATTAGTTAGTTTAACCATATCAACAAAACAGAATTAAATTTTTGTCATCATACTCTGCAGTCATCATTTCACAAGACAAATAACTGGGCAGGGAATATCACCTCCTTTAAGGATACTCTCCATTGCTTGCTTAACCATAAATGTTTAGCTAGCTGATGTCTTGTTTTCTGATTTACAAGCACAGCGAGATCATGTGCTGTTTTTTTTTTGATGTGGACTCTGGTGGATAAACAATCTTGTTGCCTGTCAAACTCAGCATTGCCCTCAAGGAACCAAAACTCAGCTCGAACATTCTCCCTCATTGAGTTCTCTTGGGAAAAGTTCCTCTTCCTTTTTTGTGCTCATCTCACCACCACCATCGCTGCACACTCAGTTCAGCCCAGCACAGCAAAATCAAACAGCAGCTCTGTCTAATGAAAGCAAATGAGCAAAACCCATGGGCTGACTGGTATCAGATCAGAGCAAAAGGCTCTGTGCTTCGCTTCTCACATCGCAAAACTCTCTGAAGATTCTGCCGCAGCAATTAAGAGGCTGGTGTGAAGGAGATGATTGTTAATAATGCATACTCTCAGTATCAGTGTAATACTTTCAAATGTGAAGTGCACACACACACTAGCTATGTTTTTTTTTTTAATGCACAGAACAGGAAACTAATACATGCATATGTGAGTGATCCATTATTTGAGGGTGGATCGCTGAGGAGGCATAATGTCAGTGTCTGTTTGAATGCTTTGCAGCACAAAGTTGTTGGTGCGATTGAAGGAGAAGTAACCACGTTCTCCCGCGAGCTCTGTCATTCACAACTACCTTTAGCGCACACAAAGGGCTACTTATCTCCCACAGAGCGAGTGCAGAGAGCACACGCTTCCAGCTGTGCAAAAACACAACCTATCTAACCTACTCCAGCAAGAGCTTCGCTGGCTCTTCAGCAACCTGGGCACAGTCCGTAAATATGTGACGTCAGGTTAAAGCTAATAAGTGTATAGCCTACTTTTGTTTTCATGTTTTTTTAATATTTGCCAGACTGAAGATGTTTTTCTGGGTCAATGACGTGATGCTCATTTTTCTTTAGTCTTTTCAAAAATACATTCAATATGAAATTCATACATGCATTGACATGACTATGTCTCTTCTGTGATGATCATGCCTTAAATTTTATGCTCTACTACAAACATAGACATTGTTTATTTTGTCTAAGGCCTTAAAGTTGGCCGAAACATCACTGTTTATAAATAAAGTCAAGTGTATGTTTGTAGAGTGAGTGTTGAACTTTTCTTCTGAAGTTTGAAATTCAGATTTTATGGAGTTGAACCACCTCTGCAACTTGTGTGTATTTTACAGCTTTGTTAAGAATATGTTAATTTGTTGAAGTAGTTCGACCATAGACTGTAAAAAAAAAAGGACGACACGTCTCCAAGTCCTTTCACTGTACAAAAGTGAAGCCAAAACATCCCAGCATCTTGCGAAAATTATGTCATTTGGAGCCTAAGTCGGTGCAGTAGTGATTCATTTGGAGCCTGACCCCTTGTCCAAATACCCACATTTGCGGTCTTGGCCACTTGAGAGCGCGTGCGCGCGACAGGAACTGCGCAAGACTGTCCCAGGTCTTAAAAACGCTAAAGCGCAGTGCCCTTAACGCACACTAAATCCACACTATCCACACTGCGGAGCGCTATTTGAGGCTTAGTGTATCCCATCATGCATCATGTTGTGGAAATAAATCGTGAGACTTTTTGCCGAGATCTCGCGAGAGGTCACAGAAACCTTCCCAATGTAGCCTATATTAAATATTATTAATAATTAGATAGTAGCTACATATAATTTGGTAGTAAAACAAAGAGCTGCACGCTTTATTGGTGTGAATGAGTAGTGGTGATAATTATTGTGTACAACATTTGCAACTGCTTTTTATAATTTAATTAGAAGCACCGCAAAATTAAATTGTGTCATCTGTTATAGGGACTACCGAACAGACATTTAGAAGTTGATTTTAAAATGCAAAGAATTGAAAATAAAAATAAAGCTCTGTAAACACTTGCATTTTTACAACACCATAAGTGTGTCCTATCAGGTAATGAAAAGTTCTACACACACTCATTTGAACACTTAGACCAAATACAGGAAATGCGTCATACAAGTAGTCAAGTGGTCAAATGCAAAGACCGCAAGTGTGGGTATTTGGACAAGGGGTGAGTCTGCACAATAGTGATTCATATGGAGCCCGATTCAGAGCAGTAGTGATCATGAGCTTGAGCCGCGGTATCAAAGTCCTCATGACTGTGTGTCAAGGTCATGTGACCTTGAAAATGTGACCTTTTTAGGACAAGGCGACGTTAGTTCAGGTTGCAAAATTGCACCCAAAAATATTTTTAATTATTGAATAATTAATTACCTTTTAACATTATAACTTTTTTGATTCAAATCAGAAAATTCTAATTCAAAGTGAAAATATGTTATCGCATTTTTAATGCTTACACCACATGGCATTTGTATAGTCAGTAGATTTAACCTTTTTATTAAGAATATTATAAAAGTTTTTCAAATCCATATGAATTTTTTATTTATTTAAATCCATATGAAAATCCGATACGAATACAAAGAGTTCATTTCTAACTTAAAAAAAAAAAAAGATTTTTCCTGTTCTTATCATGAATACTGTTATTTATCATTGACTCTTTGTGTGTTTATCTAGCTGGTGGACAAGGAGCTGTGGCTCAGATATAGATGTGGCAACATGCTCCCTGCCAGTCTGCATGTGGCCAACCACCCTGTGGCTGATGGCCACTGGCACCACGTCTCTCTGGAGGTCAACGGCTCAACCCTTAGACTCACCATTGATGCCAGCCACTCCAACTCTGTGGTTCTGCCTCAGCCCTGCAGGCTCAGTCAGTCCGGTGGAGCCCTGGTGCTGGCCAACTCCAATCCCAGCACAGATGCAGGGGGACTGGGCTTCACCGGCTGTTTGGAGAGCGTACAGTTCAATGGAGAGGCGGTGAGAGGAGAGGAGGGGATGACAGGAACTGGCCCGCAGACCGGCAGACTCTTTGGGATCTACCAGTGCTGCTCTGATGTGAAGATCTGTGCCAGTAATCCTTGTGAGAATGGAGGCACTTGTGTTGAAGACCCCAGTGGAGGTGGGAAAGCAATGGACACACATTCTTCATTGTTTTACCTACCAATTCATAAAATTTAATCTGCAAATTAGGTCAGCAAATCTGAATGCCATTTGCACAACAGTAGTTTCCCATCTTGCTTGTCTACACCTTGAGTTTTGATATATGGATGATTATAATGCTACATCATTTAATCAACATATGATGAATTACTGCTGCTATGATCACTAGAAAATGTACACAAACATCACTGTAAAATTAAATGCATTTACAAAAAAATCATGTGTAGAAATAATAAAAACAGAAAAGGTTTGTGCTGAAAATAATATTAAAAAAATGAATTGGTGGCACTTTACAATCATTTTAAATTGTTAACGTTAGTTAATGTATACAAAAAAATAAAAACAGAATGTTTAATAAAAAAATAAATTAAATAAAAATATATAATTAAATGATAAAATGATTTTTTATCATTTGAAAAATTTATTTTAAATTAACATGTTAATTAATAAAAAAATTTTTATTGTGAGTTTAAAATTGCATGAACTAAAATGAACTGAACGTGTCTTTTACGTATCTATTACAGTGCTAATGTTGGAAGTAGTTACTGAAAGTGTGCTAAAGTTGTGCAAATCTATTCATTATTTCATCTCTGTTTCATGTTATACAATTGGGAAGTAGGGAATTAATTCTTGAATATTAATCAAGGTACCTTAACAAATTGGTAAGGGACAAGAAACAGAAATGCTGTAGTGTCTTTGGAGTATATAAGCAGCACTACACAGATATGGAAATAAAGCTAGGGAGATAATAATCTCCGCTGTATCTCCATTCAAAAGATTTCTCAATACCCCAGTGTCAGTCTACACTTTCATCTCAGCACAGAGAAGTTCCTATGGAAATGTCGTTGTTATTTTGACCATTTCTCTAAGATGCATTTTTTCCGTCTGTCCTCCAGAGTTTCACTGTAGCTGTCCATTGCCATACTCTGGCTCTCGCTGTGAGAACGGCATCCTGCCGGACGATCCTTGTGCATCCCAGCCATGTGCTAATGGTTTGTGTATGCCAAATAATCAAGGGTACATCTGCAACTGCTCTGCACAAATTGCTGGAAACAGGTGAGACTCACACAGCGAAGCTCTTGAAATCACACATGCATATTTTGTCCTTGGTGAAGGCATTAAGAAGTCGGACTAATTTGCATGAGAATGAATACTCGCCCACACAGGTTGCATGTGTTATGTGCGTTTTCCATTTGCTGTGTGCCTTTGAGTTGACAAATTAAAACATTATTGATTGTCCTCTTTCATATATAACACCAAGCTTGAGCAATATGGTGGCGATAATATACAACATAATATTCTGACCATTTTATGAAAATGATCAAAAATGCTGGAGGTGACTGGCAACTTTTTTTTAAAACGCTGCCAAGGAAAGAGTTAACAGTAGCATTCTGTAATATCAAGATATCTCAGATTAAATAATATGGAATGAATTAAAAAAAGAAAATACTCTTTATTTCTCAAGATAATAAGAGTTGTGGAAACATCCAGATGATAGCTTGATAACATAACTGTTTGCATACATAAAGACAATTTAAAAGAAATGTATCTGATACACTGGACGTTTGGAATGAGGAAGATATTCAAGTTTCCATTGAATGGTAATTCATCTGTGGTATCTGTGACTGAGTGTGAGAATATCTAGATCAGTGTGGCCCACTCACACACTCCTACATTCAGTCAATTGTTCCTTCTCTTTGCAGATGTCAGAATGCATGCACTCCCAATGCATGTCGCGAAGGTTTTGAATGTTCAATTGCGGGAAACTCCATCCACTGTGAGCGCAACACCTCCCCTTCTTATGTGGAAATTGCAGAGATCTGTGCAGGCATACTGGGGCTTGTCCTCCTCGTCGTGGCCTTTGTGTGTTTCCGAAAACACTATGTCAGCCGTAAGAAGCACAAGTCTGGCTGCGTGCAGGATTCCAACGGCTACTTCCCAACGTTGCCTAAAAGCATGATGAAAGAAACTGAGATCAGCTCTCCTATGGAGATCAGCACCCTGATTGGCTTCACATGTGATCTGGATAACAGTCCATTTCGTTCCCTCAAACCTCGTGAACAGCGGGAGCCCGGCGGCCCTCAGGTGGGCTCTCGGTCCCAGAGGCCTCAGGGTCCTGTGATTTGCAGCGTGGCCCCCAATCTACCTCCTCCACCCTCCACCAGCTCTGATAACGACTCTATTATGAAAAACAACTGGGAGCATGACTACGAAGGTGAGTTTTATTTAATAATATTTTCTCCGCTTCTACAGGCACTTCACTTCATTTGGAATTTAGTCACATCATAAAAGACGAAAGGGGTTGCAGGGCAAATAGCTGCGTGTGCAGGTCAATGTAAAAGCAAGTGCAGGTCATATTCAATGATATCTTCTTTCTTTTTTTTTCAGTTTGCTGCAGCACTGAGCACTTTCTCATGTGTTCCTGTTTTGAAAAGCTGTATATCACATTTAAAATTGTGACATAAAATTCTCAAGCACATCTTTAACACTCAAGCATTTCAAAAACAGTTGAGAATTTGTCTACTTTTTCCATTTTAACTTAAATATGACTACTAATTTTTACTAAATTCAAGTAGTCAGCAGGACAGTGTTTACCTAATGCAAAAGACTCAAACACTGTGTCTCTGCTGTTTGTGGCACATCCACAAATGCTTGAGTTGAGTGGATCACCATAAACTGTCAGAACTGTCATTAACAGTGCAAAAAACTGTCATGTCCCACTCGCATAGTGGAAAACTCTGAGCGACACTTTATTAGTTTCATATATTTGGACATATTGGGTATTTTATTGGTTTAATAATAATATTAATGTCACACACCAGTGAGAGGAATTTTCTTCTGCTCTTGCCGTTAGGGATGCACAACACATTGATACCCATATAATTAGCGGATGATAGTGGAGACTTTTATTTTATCAGTATGTCGATATTAGATCGGTGCATATTTTGTGTGTTTAATTGTACATGTTTATTTCCCCTTAACCCTGCTGTCATCTCTCACTTAAAGTAAATCTTTAAATACAGTTCAATAACACGAATCTCATTCTGTACTGTGATTCCTACTTGATTTATCCTTCGTCAAGGACACTTTAAAATGGACAAAAATATTAAGCAACAGAACTCTGTTATTGATAATAATAATAAATGTTTCTTGAGCACCAAAAAGATTTCTGAAGGTCTTGTGACACTCAAGACTGGAATAATGACTGCTGAAAATTCAGCTTTGCATCCCAAATAAATTATATTAAAAACATTTAAATAAAAGTTAAAACAAACATTTTAAATAGTAATAATATTGCACAATATTACTGTTTTCACTGCATTTTTGATCAAATAAATGCAGCCTTAGTGAACTTCTTTAAAAACATAAAAAATCTTACCAACCCCAAACTTTTGACCAGTAGTTTATATCAAGCATTTATTGTTTATCGGCCATAACATGAAAATATAATTTTAATATTGATGCATCACTACTTGTAGTGAAGTGACGTGACATGTGGCCAAGTATGGTGACCCATACTCGGAATTAGTGCTCTGCATTTAACCCATCCAAAGTGCACACACACAGCAGTGAACACACACACACCGTGAACACACACCCGGAGCAGTGGGCAGCCATTTTTTGCTGCGGTGCCCGGGGAGCAGTTGGGGGTTCGGTGCCTTGCTCAAGGGCCCCTCAGTCGTGGTATTGAAGGTGGGAGAGAGCGCTGTACATTCACTCCCCCCACCTACAATCCCTTAGAACACTTGTATAGACTAAGTGCAAGTGAAATCATGTGGTACAACTAGTCGACATAGACCTAACTCATCTACTACTGTCAGAACTACTCAACTAATTTGTGCAACCCCTAGTTGCAAGAAATAAACCATTTCTAATAATAACTCTCATTCACAGTGTATCCTGCTGATCCTGACTACTACGGCCGACCCACGGTTCAAGAGTTCCCACAGTTTGACATTGTGGAAAGCACTTACTCGACGGCTTCCACAGAGTCACGCAGGAACTCTCGTTTCGGAGGCTTCCCTTTCCCGCTGGACCGTGCTGACCGCCGCGCTCCATTACCCCCTTGTTACAGCAATCAGAATTTAGATGACTTCTTGGGGCCGGATGGTCTGCCGCTGCCCAGCTCTCAGTGCCCTAACGAGTACACTGCCATAAGCTACTACCCTACTCAGCACACTTGCAGCCTGGACAACGTCTCCAGCGGCTATAAGAGGCTCAGCGTGCATTTGAGTGTGGCACAGCCTTCCTACGCGGACGGCGATGGATCCACACGGCCTGGATCTACTAGAAGGACGCCTCGCAGTTATGCTGGCTCAGATATGGTGGAGAGTGACTACGGCAGCTGCGAGGAGGTCATGTTCTAAGAGACTGCGGTGGATCAAAGGTACCGTATGAGTGGGGTTATAGAGGGGAAGCTCATCTCGTACATATAGTATATGAAGCTCAACGGCTGAAAGCCACAGAAGCACTATCAGTATTAATAGTCACTTTCAGGGAAAACAAATACATCTGTGTGAAATGCAACGTTCCTCATTGTTTGCCCTTTAGGAATCTGTAGAATTATTGCATGACCTTAAAACGTCTACGGTGTGGTTATAAATTATGTTATTAGTGTTTAGCGATAATGCGACCTCATTTGGTATTGCGAGTTCAATCGCACCCCGTCCAGTTTGGTTGGAAAAAGTATATGTTATTTTCAGCGCATGTGTTAATTGACTGATTGTAGTGTTGCATGTCATTATCAGAATGGAATCCAGCTGTGGGATGGATGATTATTTTTGTAAAACATACGAGCCCATATGTGCTCACCCAAACCAGTGTACTATGAAATTTGATGTTTTCAATCGTCCCATATGGTGTAAACATTTTTCGCGATGCAGGTTATCTAGAAGCACATTTCACTACAGCTAAACAGCAGTATAGAGGTTACGCTGATTTGTACATGCGATTGAAACAGAGGCTGGCTCCCTGCTGTAGCAAAAAAAATTAATAGAGCACAATGTGAAATATAACATGTATGTTTATGAAATATCAAATATAGGTAAGTTGATGTGTCATTGGTTGTTGGGAAATGTACAACTTTTGGACTGTTATGTTAAAGGAATTGTTCACCTCACGCACTCAGGCCTTCCAAGATGTAGTTTGTTTGTTCATCAGAACAGATTTGGAGAAATTTGGCATTATATCACTTGCTCACCAATGGATCCTCTGCAGTGAATGGGTGCCGTCAGAATGAGAGTTCAAACAGCTGATAAAAACATCACAATAATCCACACCACTCCAGTCCATCAGTTAATGTCTTGTGAAGTGAAAAGCTGCGTGTTCATAATAATAAATCCATCAAGGCATTTTAATTTTAAACTGTTGCTTCTGGGCAAAATACGAGTCCATTATAATGCTTCTCTCACAGCAGGGGATGGAAGTTTTCACATTGGTGAGCAAGTGCTGTAATGCTAAATTTCTTCAAATCTGTTCAGATGAAGAAACAAACTCCTTTACATCTTGAATGGCCTGGGGGTGAGTACATGTAAAGCAAATTTTCATTTTTGGGTGAACTATTCTGTGCTGGCTTTATCTTATGCTGTGCACTTAGATGTTTTGCAGTTTTAGTAGTTTTCAGTGATCAAAGGAAATCAAACTTAAGCCATAAAAAATCTCTATGCAGCGTTTTATGGCTCAATTATGCTTCTTGACAAACTGTCATAATGGTTACTAATCATTAAAAAGATAAAAAAAAATACTGCCAAACTGAACTGATTGAAGAATTATATATATATATATATATATATATATGTATGTGTGTTTGTGTGAACATCACAAACAGCTGCATTTTGTATTCTAAAGCGCTTCTGTCTTTGAACTGTATTCTGTCTTTGAACTGTATTCATAACATTAATGACATCTTTAGGGTGCAATATTTTTGTTATAAATAGGGATTTCCAACAGAGTACATTTTATTGTATGCAAAGATGACCTGAATGCGACTGGCTTTGAAGACTGGTTTAGTAGACTGGTGCATGTGTCATCAAATGATATTGCATGTGCCCCCTTCTCTCAATGACTGCTACTTCATTGTAGTGTTTAGTCGATAGTGTTTCAAATGACACAGTACAGTGTTGATGTACATATTATTGGCAGCTGTTGCAAGTATTTGTTAGGATCTGCCGTATGTTTGTGCAGTGGGTATGGTAAGTGTGAATGTAATTTTTTTTAATTTTGAAAATTTAATATGGGATGAAACTCATGTTTTAAATGAGTTCCTCTGTGAGAGAATTGTGTTGTCTTTGCCATTTCCCATCTGTGTAGAAAATACTATGAAATATATCAAATAAAATTATGTTTAATATACAGAATGTACTGTGTTGTATTTTAATTAATTGTACTCTTATAAATTCAAAAATTCAGTAATAATTCAAAAAAGTCATCAGTCATTTTTTTTCAGCAAGAATGCATTGGTCAAGAGTGACAATAAAGATAACTCAGCAATTCCCCAAGATTTATGCACGAGAGAAAGTGGAGCAGTCCCATAATGTATACATCTCCTGTCCTGAGGCACAGGAATCTCACATGACCCTTGAGTGTTTCGGAAATAACCGTCATCTCATAACAGTACTGAGTGCAGTAACTCATCTTGTACTCGTACACAGGACATCTGAAGTGTAGGATGTAACTGTTTAGAATGTCATTTGCAATATTAAGCAGTATCCACTATTTACACTCATTTCAACTGAGTGGCACTCTTCAATATTAATGTCCACGATTAGATGCTGTGAACGCTTGGTGCATTTTGGAGTGGGAAGGTTTGTTGCAAAGATTTTTAAATTTCAGTTATTAATTTTTTTTAGCCTTATCAGAGGGAGATAGTGTCTGTTAATTTAGAAAAACACAAAAGTCAAGCTTAGGCTAGTGTAACCTAATGATCCTGACCAAATATTTCACATGTGATATAGGAAATTTGTCACATGACATTTTTTACAATGCACTTTGTAACAAGGTGGACCTTAACAGGATGGACAGAACAACATGCTAGCAGTAGAATAACATTTAAAAATTGTAATAGATATAATATCTATTAATAGAGATTAAAAAAAAAAAAAATCATGTCCAGTATAAAGCGATACAACAGGGTGTACGTGTTATGTTTTGCTCTATTTTAGATAAGCCATTTAAAACTGAGGAAAAGTAAGAAAAGTTCATGACTTTGTGTTTGGAGTTGCTTTCACTCCAAGGAAATGTAGCTTCTAGCAAGTCATGTGATTTAGGGCACATGCTTAAGAATTTAAAGGGCAAGTAGCACCAATGTAACAGGGTGGATTGGAGTTTGAGAGACATAAACAAATTTTGGGTAATTTCTCGAGTTTGGAGGATTTCGGATGTCCGCTTGAAACAATAATTCATATTTTACAATAAAATGACAGTAAAACTTTCATGCCAGATGGTTTCCATGCATAGATGTACCCCATTAACAAAAGTTGGCAGACAAGTTCTCATGTCCCCAATTGTTTTTTTTTCTCTTACTTTGAAATAAAGGTTACATATTCAGTGTTTCTAAATCAGCAATTTTTTGTATTAGTCATACATTTACTTATTCGTTTTGACATAAATTACAATTAATTGTAATATATTTTTTAATGTGTAAAAATTAGTCTATGTCTACATCCGAAATCACATACTTCCCTAGTATATAGTAGGCGAAAAACAGTATGTGACAAAAGAAGTGTGTCCGAATTCACAGTACTCATAAAAGAGTAGGCAAAAAGTACCCGGATGACCTACGACTTCCAGCGTGATTCTGAAGTGTGCATATAATGAACACTTTACTATCCCATGAGGCCACGGGAGAGGATTTATGAATGGCAGTGACACAATGCAGCTGATGGAGGTAGGTCACGTGACAATGACAATATGGTGAATGTAGTATATCCAGATTACATTCATACTACACACATTCATACTACATAGAACATACATTGGGAGATTCCCAACAATGTAAAGCGCTTTGAGTGCCTAGAAAAGCGCTATATAAATGTAATGAATTATTATTATTATTATTATTATACTCTTTTCGCAGTCACGAAGTATATACTTTTTTCAAAAATGTACCTACTTATGAGAGTATGCGATTTAGGATGCAGCCTATGTCTCACAGTCTCCAGTCCATCATGTTACTTCTTCTTCTTAAGTTTTTTTGGCGGTTGGCAAACCAGCTTGTAGGTGCTTTACTGCGCCACCTGCTGGACTGGAGTGTGGTTCAGAAGATTTGGAAGGAAAAATGAAAAACTCAACCTTTTATATTCACTCTATCAGTCCTGTTTCTTCTAAATGCAGCCTGGTATTGAACTACTGGTTTCGTCTGGCCAGAGGAGAACTGGCCCCCCGACTGAGCCTGGTTTCTCCCAAGGTTTTTTCTCCATTCTGTCACTGATGGAGTTTTGGTTCCTTGCCGCTGTCGCCTCTGGCTTGTTTAGTTGGGGACACTTCATTTCCAGCGATATCATCGACTTGATTGCACAGATACTATTTACACTGAACTGAGCTGGATGATGACATCACTGAATTCAATGATGAACTGTCTTTAACTGAAAAATTAGTGTTTACTATTGTCACTTTGCATTATTGACACACTATTTTCCTAATTAATGCTGTACAGTTGCTTTGACACAATCTGCATTGTTAAAAGCGCTAATAAATAAAGGTGACTTGACTTGACTTGATGTTTTTCAAAGTGAAAGTTAGTTTAATTTTATATTTTTATTTTTTTTATTACCTTATAACTCCTTTCTTTTATTTTCATATGCATTGTATTCCATTATCACATGTTGCCATCATGTTACCGTGGTGCTACTTGCCCTTTAAAATCTTATGCATATGCCCTAAATCACATGACTTGCTAGAAGTGACATCATTTCCTTGGAGGGAAAGCAACTCTAAACACAAAGTATTAAGTCAAAATCTTTTCTTTCTTTTCTTCATTAAACTTATTTAATAGCATATAACATAACGTCCACCCTGTGTCAATTTATACTGGACATGAAAATATTTGCTTTTAAAAATAAATTTCACATATCTATTAAAATTCTTCCTAGATTTTAATTTTCTGCTAGCATATTGTTCATTACATAGCTAGTAATGGGCTTCATTGGCTTAAAACCAGTTGTTTTTCTGATAGACAGACATTTTCCCCCTCTGATAAGACAAAAAATAATTGGATTTTTAACATATTTTTTCCAATAAACCAGTCAGTCCGCTCACACACACACACACACACACACACACACGCATACACGCGCGCACACACACACACACACAACTATCACAATAAATAGCATTTTATGTCAAAGAGATTAAGTGTATACACCAATACTCAAAATTTCTAATTAAGAAATATACATATATGTAACCTTTATTTCATAGTGTAGTTGAGAAAACATGATTGGGGACATGAGAATTTGTCTGTCAAGTGACTATTCTCTGTAGATCCCACCTTCTCGCTCACCACAATTGATCAGTTAGAATGCTTGCACGCTATTGGTCGAACAACTTATCAGTCATTCTTTGCATTATTGACACACTATTTTCCTAATTAATGCTGTACAGTTGCTTTGACACAATCTGCATTGTTAAAAGCGCTAATAAATAAAGGTGACTTGACTTGACTTGATGTTTTTCAAAGTGAAAGTTAGTTTAATTTTATATTTTTATTTTTTTTATTACCTTATAACTCCTTTCTTTTATTTTCATATGCATTGTATTCCATTATCACATGTTGCCATCATGTTACCGTGGTGCTACTTGCCCTTTAAAATCTTATGCATATGCCCTAAATCACATGACTTACTAGAAGTGACATCATTTCCTTGGAGGGAAAGCAACTCTAAACACAAAGTATTAAGTCAAAATCTTTTCTTTCTTTGCTTCATTAAACTTATTTAATAGCATAAAACATAACGTCCACCCTGTGTCAATTTATACTGGACATGAAAATA